AGGGCTGCCTTTCTGTCTGTCTGCCAGCAGTGGCTGACCTTTGTCAGCAGAGGGTGGCATTTCTGCTGACAAAGATCAGCCACTGCTGGCAGACAGTGGGTAGCATCTCTGCAGATAGGCTTTTGTGAGCCAACAGTCATGCTTGTTCTGGGATGTTGTTGGAGGGGCTGCCCTCTGCCTGCTCTGCAGTAATGGTGGTGTTGCTGGGCTGTCTGGATGGGCAGGGTGGTGCCAAGGGAGCACCTTACGGCTGGCCCACCAGTGAGGAGGAAGGAAAGCTCTGAACTAGCTCCCACAGCTGCCTCCCTAGTTGGGGTGAGAGAGGGCTGAGAAAGCTGGGAAAGTCTCCCTTTACCTGCCACACAATAAAGTCTGACTGGTGCTGGGCCTAACAGGCCGAAGTGGGGCAGGCATGTGGGTGGGTGTGTAGGGAAGTGCCCTGGGGCTGCGTAGCCAGTGAGGGGGATGGAGTGTTTGAGACTCTCAGGAGCTCCCAACCAGTTGGCCTGAGGGAGGACTGGAGAAGTGTCCACTTGCCCTTTCTCCTGCCGAGTGAGCTCTGTCTAACCCTTGCCCCTCTGTCACCCTTCCCACTGCTGGTAAATCTTTTAAATTGCCTCCTCTGTGTTAGGTCTCACAAGCGCTAACAGAGCATGCCTATCTTCCACTAGTGACAGGAGTCTTGGCCTCCCAGAGTGCTCTGACTCTCCCTAGTGTCCAGCCCTGTTAATCACCAAAGCCCAATGCAGTGTGAACTCATGTCCTCAGAGCAGACCTCCAGAGCTAGATGTGCAGAGTTTCTGAGTACAGAGTTCCTGCCCTGCGCCATTCCTCTCCCTCCTGCTTATGGGCTGGGATAGGGGAAGGGTTTGAGTCCTAATTGATAGTGGCTCTGCCACTTCACAGTTTTATGTGTGGGCTCTTCTTCTTCATGTGTAGGTGGTCTGTTTTGCAGTCTTCAGGTCCTTTTCAGAGTTAGTTATATTTGCTGTAGTTGCTTCCTTGGTGTTTGTGTAAGAGGACATTTCCACCTTGCCTTCCTACTCCATCATCTTTTTTCCGCCTCAACTCCAATATGTTTCTATTCACTGATTTTCCTCTTTACTTTAAGTTATATTTTCCTGTTTTTTTTTGCATAGCAAATGATTTTTTATTATGTAGTGGATGTTATGATTGATACCTTGTAGAGACTCTAGTTTCTGTTATCTTCTATTGAAGAGAAAGCAGGCAGGTAAATTATTGGTTAGTAACCTTGATGTCTTACACATGGTTGTTTTAGGCTTTGTTAATGAAGGTCTATTTCACTTTTGTCCTTAGTCCTAGGAAAAATTTCTTAGACCTGAAATATGATCTTAGACCTGAAATATGAACCTCCTAAAGTACAGCCCTTTTGGGGATTCAATAGTATGCCTGAAGTATTTATGAAGACCCTCCAATTTGGTGTAACTCCAACTCCAAACTCTTCTCTGTAATAGACAGCTGCTGAATTCTCTGCTGTTTCCTTCTAGTTATTTTTCCTCCATTCCTTGGCATGTCACCTAACATATATAATAAGTAAGGAGTCAGTTATAGATTTGAAGAGAGTATTTTCAGATTTTGGGGTTCTCTACTCTGTGGTTTCCTCTTTTCTGGGGTCTAACTTATAACCAATCTGGCAGATTTAAACTCAGTCCTCTGATTCTCTGGGCCAGTAATATTTTGACTGTCTGCTTGAGCTATGTGTGGTTTGTGCCATTTAGATTGTGGGATGCCTTCAGAGGAAAATGTAGACAAATGTGCATCTCATGCAGTATGGTTCCCTTCCTTCAAGAGTTAAATGCCCTCATGTTTCTTACTGCTTTAGGTTGCTCTTCTGTTCCTTATTTTCTTCTATATTTCATTTAGAATTTATCTTTGTCAGTAGGAGGGTTAGTCTGATATAAGATAATCCATCAATACTGGAAGCTGGCACCTTTGATCTCAAATGAAAAAATATGTTGTAATGAAATATGATAAGGAACCTCTCTCTGTTTCTTTTTCTTTGGCTTCATCATTTGTCCCATGCAACTTAATTAATACCCTATTGATTAAAAAATTATGTTCATACCCCTGTTTCCCTTGCAGCTATTCTCATATAAACAGACCTTTGTATATATTTTTCCATTGCCACAGAATTGAAAAATATTTCCCCAAAAGTCATTGGAAATGCTCTTGTACATATCTGTAAATAGCCCTCTTTTTTGGTTTGTTTGTTTAACAGGCACCTTTATAGCACTTAACATGCGCCATGTACTGGCCTGAGCATTTTACACATATTAACTCCGTTAATCCTCACTTCAACCCAGTGATGTAGGTATCATAATTGTCCCCATTTTTTAGGCGAGGGAACTGAGGCACAAAGAGATTAAGCTAGGCAGTGGTAGAGCCAGGATCTGAACCCAGGCATTAGGGCTTTATTAGAATCCATATTCTTAACCACAGTGCTCTGCTACCTCTCCTACTTCATGCTGTCTGTACTCATTATGCTCTGGGTATGTGCTCGTAAATATTTGTGAATTTTTAAAGTTTTTTAATTAGTGGTTTTTCAATTAGTGGTATCTATTGTATTTTAAGAAGAGGTATCTATTTTAAGAACAGGAACCACATACTGTATTATATAATAGTATTATATGATATACATACAGGAAGCTGTACTGTGCCATACAGAAAAGACTCAAATACAACTTCCCCTATAAATTTCACCTTTAAGTCCTAGGGAGTGTTAATCACATTATTTCTTCTGTACTTTCACAATGCAGAGTGTTGTGGTTATCAGTTTCTATTGAGTGGTTATTTCTTCAACCTTGTATTGCAGCTAGAAGGCTTGACTTTCCTGTTAGATTATAAGGTCATTGAAAATAGAGATCATGCCTTCATCATTTTTGTAGACATTCTGCCCTGGCATCTAGTGACCATTGAATATAATGGACCATGTGATGGTAAAAATGTAATTCTATTTGCCAATGAGGAATCTTTGCATATCCATCTTGTTTTACATCTTATTTACAATAGGAATATTTTATACTTGTGTTTTGCTTTGAACTTTTCAAAGTCCTTTCATATCAACTACTTTCTTTTAAGGTTCTTTTATTCTTTTTTTTAACTTTTATTTTGGTATCATTAATATACAGTTACATGAGCAACATTGTGGTTACTAGATTCCCCTCATTATCAAGTCCCCCCCACATGCCCCTTTACAGTCACTGTCCATCAGCATAGTAAGATGCTATAGAATCACTACTTTCAACTACTACTTTATGGAAAAAAAATGAGCATTGATTTGTTCAGTAAATATATTCTGAGAACCTACTCTGTGTCAGGTAACTATAATAGTTGCTTAGGATATAGAAATGAACAAAACAGAATCCCTGCTTCATGTAGATTTCATTCTTGTGAGAAGGTAAAGATAAATATAAATAATGTGTTAAGTGGTGATAAGAAAAATAACATAGGATAAAGAGATAAAACATGATGGAACATACTACTTTAGATGGTGTGATCTGGAAAGAGTTGTATGAGGAAATAGCATTTGAGTAGAGACCTGAATAAAGTTAAGGAGTAAACTTGTAACATTTCTGGGGTTTAGAAGAGTTCTGATCAGAGGGAATAGCACAGAGAGAGGCTTTTAAATCGGGAAAAACAGCAAGAATGTTATTCTGGAAGTGTGGGAGAAATGAGGTAGAAAGGTAAAGGTGGTAGTGTGTGCAGGAGGCAGATTATGGAGGGCCTTGTAATCTATGAGAAAACTTTGGGGTTTTATTCTAAGTTTGATGGAGATCACTAGAACATTTTGACCAGAGGCATGACATCTGTATTATATTTAGTAACTTCAGTCTATTTGCTGTGTAGAACATAGGATGCAGAGGGAGCAGGAGTAGAATTAATGACTAATTATGAGGCTGTTGAAGTAATCTAGGCAAGAAATGTTTGTCTAAATTAGGCTGGACGCAGTGGAAGTAATAAGATGTATTTAGATTTGGATGTATTTGCAATTAGAATCCAGAACCAAGAGAACCCAATGAGAAATTTTTATAGGATATAAGAAAAAGAAAGGAGTTGGAAATAATTCTCACATTTTTGGTCTGAGCAAGATGGTGAATGCCAGTACCATTTACTGAAATGGGAAATGTGATAGAAGGAACATGTTGAAACAAGATATGTATTATTGCCTTTACTTTCTTTTTAAGGAAACTGAGGTATATTTAAAGAATTTTGATAAACTTTGGAATAGAATCCTGGTTGCCTCATTGCTAACCTCAGATTTCTTCTAAATAAGTGCCTCAATACTTCTTGTTTCTTGTTTTTAATTTTACTTGCATGATGATTACTTCACTTTATTCTTTCAAAGGAAAAGCCTGAGCAAGGATGTTTTAAGAGTATTCGAGATTTTATATATTTTCTAGGATTGTAGTTGTCAAAGAGCCTAGTGCCTTGTAGGTATTGAGCAATTGTTTGCTAGATTAAATCAAAAGAAGATTCAGTCTCATCTTCAACCTTGGCATTCTTATAAGGGCATGTATCTGTCTCATAGTTAAGATAGATTGCAGTTTGTCTTTCAGAAAGTAGTCATTAAGTAGAAATCATAAGATCTAGGTTTGGAGTCTAGGACTGTCCCTTACTGTGTGTAACTTTCAACAAATCAGTCTATTGTTCTCAGCCTTAGTTTTCCCATCTGTGAAACTGAAATAATACCAACTTATCACACATAATTATTGTGAAGATGAAATGAGATCATGTATGCTTAACACTACTAGCACCCAATTAGTGTATCAAACATAGAATAAAAGCTTATGCGGATGAATCTCAATAAAGTCACCATGAGATGTTTACAAGGTTGAAAGAAATTTGTCATAGAGATATAGTTTGTGGGAAAATTCTGTACTTAAATGTATGTTGCTTTTTTTTCAAAATTAATATATACATTAACATACATATTATAAGGAACATATTACTGAAGATTAATGTTCATGCTTACTTTACAGGTATTGGTATGCCTTGAAAAATGGTTATCATGTGGCTTTCAAATATAACAGCAAAACTGATAACTTCATGGAGAAACAAATTGATCCACATAAAGAAGTTATAGATAGAGTGACTGATTTGAGCATGCTCAGGCTATTTGAGACCTACCTGGAAGGCTGCCCACAACTTGTTCTTCAACTCTACATCCTTCTGGAACATAGTGAAGCAAATTTCAGTCAGTGTAAGTCTCTCTTAATACCCTGTGTTAGATTGATGCCACTGAGATCTTATGTCAACTACATAATTCATTTTGGCAGGTTTTAGAATTTCTCTTAATCGTTTTTCTTTTTAGAATTATTTTCTTTAAAAGAAGTCCATGATATAAATGTCAAAAAAATATATAAAGATATATTGTCTCCCTCCTTCTCCTGCTTATTTCTTCCTTCATATGTCCAGAAATGAAACTGTTATTGTCCATTTTTGATGATTTTTTTAGGAAAAAAATTGAAAAGCCTGTATTCCCCCCCACCCTTTTTTCTTTCTTTTCAGCTATGGTAACACAAAAACTGTCTTTGCCTTTTTTTTTACTTAGCAGTACATCTTGGAGATCTATCCATATCACCACAGAAAGAGCACCCTCATTCATTATTATTATCTTCATAGCGTTACAAATTATGGATGTACCATGATAAATAACAAACCCCCGTTTATGTTAATTTAGGTTGTTTCAAATATTTTACTACTTAAAAAAAGGCTGCAATGAAAAGTCTTATGCATGTATATTTTGCATGTGTGAAATATATACATAGGGTAAATTCCTAGAATTTGAATCATTGTGTGAAAGTACAAATGTTACAAAACTAACGAAAGTTTTGCAAGCTGGTCAATGTGTTGCTTTGATAGCAGATTTTTCTCATGAGAGTAAAATGTTTATTTTTAAAGGAAAATTTTGTATTTCCATTAAAAAATCTTTTAATAGGTATTTAATTTGAAATGTTAAAAAAACTATTTGCTAAATAATGGTCCTGGTTTTCATTAGTGACTAGGGTTTCAGGCAGACTTGGATTCATCTCAGAGAAGCAGATTGTCATTTTCCCTCCAGTTCCTGTCTGCTTGATTTCACCTGTAAGATCAGTTCATTCCCCCAAACACCCTTCCTATTCCCAATTTCCCATAAACCTCTAGAATAATCTTACCTTTACTTTAATTGTTAGTAAGACACTGAAATGAACCTAATATGGATCAGGCCTCTTTTTTCTTCTAATGCAAAGGATTTGTGGGTTGGGATTTAAAATTTCTGTATCATATAGTTCCTGAAGCTAGTTCACAATATTGTGGTAGATCTGCTGATGATGCCAAGTAGTACATAGCATCTGGGCCAGCAATGGAATCCAATGACAGCTATCTTTGTTATAGTCCTCTTCTCATCCTTCAAGTAAGAAGTTGAGGTGTTAAGTTAAAAATAGCAAAAAGTAAGAAATAATCTAATTGTCTAACAATAGAAATTATGGTAAATAAGTTATTATAGGTAGTATACAAAATGGAGCCACTAGAGATATTGTTTACAGATAACTTTTAATGACAAAGGAAAGTAATTCTGAACTAAAATTTAGGCAAAAAACAAGTTATAAAATTTTCTATCAGCATACTCTGAAGGATACAAAGAAATTATTATATGAAAAAATTCTGTAATAAAATATACAAAAATGTTGACTGTGGTTGCTTCATCATAGTAGGATTATGAATGATTTTGTTTCATCTTTATATTTTTCTGAATTTCCAAATTTTTCATAGTAATCATGTATTGTTTTGACCATGAGGCTCAAAATGTTAAAAAAAAATCAGGTTATTTATAGAAGTACTTCAGAAGATTGAACATATTATCTTTGCTCCTTCCTGAAATCACAGCAAAAAGGAGAGTGAAGGAGTAAAAGCAATACAAGCCCATAAAGGCAAAGAGAATGCAGAGTAGAATAGCAGATTAAAAATATCAACAAATGTTTAGAATATGGAAGCAGATGGAAAACTTAGGTTATCAGGCCAACTCTGCCATTGAAAGTCTAAATTATTTGACTCAACCCTCTCTCTGAAAATCTCTAAAACAATTGGATAAATATTTTTTAAAGTTTTCATAAAAGTGTAAAACAATCTGATGCAACAGGCCAAAATATGCATGAAAGTGGGAACATAGCTTGGTTAAGAAGGACTCTGAAGGCATTTATTACCAAACCTTATAACAGCAGATTCAGTTTTGATGGCTTCCCAGAATGTGGAAGACTGAGGACAAAACTCAGGCTTCTTACAAGGGAAAGACATCTAGCAGAAAATCCATAAGGCCATACTCCAAAAAGCACCCTCCTCAGGGTAAAAGTGATGTTACTTACCTCATTCTTCACTTCCATGAGACTGCAAGGAATACTGCCTTGCTGCTAAGTAGAGCAGGAAAACACATTCTTGAGAAGTTATAACAATATGATTTGCAACCAAAATTCACATCTGTGGCTAGTACAAAAGAAAAAAAGTCCCAAAACAAACTAATGAAAACCAGGTTATGAATATAGTTAAAATGGTTCCAGACTAATGGTCCCCCGAAGTGTCTGGCAGAAACAAGTATTATTTTTCCCTGGAGGATAGGCCTCAAATAACTTTCGCAAATAGTTTTCCAAAAAAAATGAATGGTTTACAGTAGTTTATAGCACCAAAAGAAATAAGGCACTTTGAGTAAGATTCAGCAGAAATAAAAAACTCATTAAGACTTCATATATTAGAAATCACCAGATGCAAAGTATAAAATATTCATCCTATTATATGAAAGAAGTAAATGATCGACTTGAAAATATGAAATTATAAAAAAATGAGTTGTGTACTTGAAAAAGAAAAATACTTAAAATTTATGAGAATTGAAAAATTTAAGAATTGAAATAAAAAACTAAGAAGCTTAGACACAATTAAGTAGACAATTAGTGAGTTGATGTTATTTCAGAAGAAATTATCCAGATTATAACAACAAGGATATGGAAAATGTGAAAGAGATATTAAGAGACATGGAATATTGGATGAGAAAGTCTAATATACATCTGAGCAGAGTCTTGGAGGACAGGAGAGAAACAGTGGAGGGGAGGCTATATTTGAAAAGTTAATGGCTGAAAAAATATCAGAATTGATGAGAATCACCTACCCATGGATTTAAGAAGCACATTATCTAACAAGCAACTAAGTAGAAAGAATTCTGTACCACAGTATGTCATTAGTAAAGGAAATTCCAAAGAATGTACATCAGACAGACATGTCTGGATACAAGAAGGAATAGAACAAAGAAAGTAGTAAATATGTGGATAAATATAGATGAAAATTAGTGTATATAAAATAAAAATAATATGTGAGGTTAATAAAAACAGAATGAAAGTACAAGAGAGTAATACCAGTGGAACATAAATGGAGTTTAAGTGTTTTAAATTTCTTGTATAGTTCAGAAGAAAAGTAGAACAGGTGGAACTTTTTTTTTGAGGTGTAAAACTAAAAAATTTAGAGAAAACCTATTTAAGAAAAATAATATAATATTGTGAAAGCAAAATTAGATATTGTGTTAGCTTGCTTGGGCTGCCATAACAGAATACTATAGACTGGGCAGTTTAACCAACAGAATTGTATTTTCTTACAGTTCTGGAGACTGACATTTCCAGATCAAGGTTACAGCAGGGTTGGATTCTGGTGAGGATCTTTTTGGGTTGCAGATGTCACCTTAGTCTGTGTGGAGAGAGATTTCTGGTGTCTCTTCCTCTTCTTGTAAGGACACTAGTCCTATCAGATTGGAGCCCCATTTTTATGACCTCATTTAGCCTTAATTATCTCCATTAAAGGCCTTGCCTCAGAATACAGTCACATTAGGTGTTATGGCTTCAACATAGGAATTTTGGAGGAACACAATTCAGGTCATAAAAGGTACGAAAGTAGGCATTTTTTTACAATAAGAAAATATATCAAATTATAAGAAAGCTGATAAGTACCACAAATTTCACAAGAGGAAAAAATATATTCTTATTATTTTAATATTCTTTTCTTTTAAGTTTTTTTGCTGCATACTCTGGCTTTGATTTGATAGTTTTATAATACAATTTATATAGAGTAGAAAAATTTATTCTGTTTTCTAGCAACTAGTGTTGATTGAAATTTTTAAGTTATTTTTAATTAAGAAAAGTTTTAATTTCAAAGATTACTGATAATATCATGTATAATTTTTAGGTTGTCATATTTGGGAAAAACTCTACCAATCTTTTCAATAATGTGCTATAAGAGCAGAGCGTGTCAAGATCTTTTTTTTGATGAAGTAACTAATTTTTTTTGATGAATTGATAATACTAGTTTATTTTTGACATCTTACTGAATATTGGGAGTCTTATGTTACCTTCTCTGATGTTAGTAATGTCAAATCAAAGACTTTAATAACAGTGAGGATAGACCATCATGCCTTAACAGAAAGGAATCAGAGGCCTGTTGATGGCAATATAGTGAAGTGTTAAGATCAGGCAAACTTCCTGAGAATCCTAGCTCTGTCACTTACTAATCTTAATTATTCAAGCAAGTCTTGTAAACATATCCTGCTAAACCTAAAGTACATGTATTCTCAACTCAGTTTCCCTTTAGCCAGGTCCCCAAAATGACCACAGTTGCTTCAATACACCAGGAAAAAATGTGAAAGAATAAATTGGACTAGAGACAGGGAATTATCAAGTACAATTTAAATGTCTTATTTTTCCAAATTTTATAAAAATATATCACAAAATGAACACATTTCTAGTGCTTTGCCTGGGCTTGGAAGGAGCCCAGGCTAGTGTGGGTCCCTGAAATTTAAGCTTCCTTCAAATTTATCACTACCTTTCTGATAAATCTATCTCTGAGGTAACTATTGATTCATGGTGCAACTGTTGATACACAGTACAACTTTTCTCAGGAATGTCTGGAGAACACTTGATCAAAACATGAGAGTAAAACTTGAAAGAAATACGAAGATAGGAAACAGGAGGTCAACACTGAAGAAAGGTGAAGGGAAGTTCTGGGGAGAGGAAGCAAACCTTGGGAAGGATCATATTCTTAAAAAAAAGAACTAATAGATAAATATAGGGGAGTTTATTAATTTCAAGAATTTGCTAACAAGTACTGGTAGGATCAGAAAAACCCAGTAAGGAAACCCTGAAAAGTTTTAAAAGAAAAGGAATATAATAAGAGTGTAGTACTTGGCTAGCAGTGAAAAAAAAAAAGGCTATACTTACATAGTTATAATAAGGTAAACACTGAATACTGATTTTATGAAAAATTGTGATGTTACTCTTTTGAGTAGCTGGAGAGGAAAATGTAAGCAGGGAGGGTACATATGTGTTTGTGTACCTGCTAAATTTTCCTCTTCTCCAAAAGAAAATAAAAAAGGAGTGTCTAAAGCAGATGAATTAAGAAAAAGAACAATTTGTGTTTTATATAGAAATAAATTTCAGAAGAACAGCTAGAAGAGTTGGTAGTGATTTATTCTGGGATTTGTAACTGAGAGGTGAGGATGTTTTGAGCATGGTACTGCTGTTTTTCTTGTAAGTTCTGCTATACTTACTGACTTTTAAAAGATATATGTGTTTGGTAGAAATTAAGACATTATAGAAAAGACATAACAGGACAATTTAGGGGAAAGCAACAGATGAATTAAAATATTTTTGAATTGAAGAGAGGAAAATAAATAAACTAATTGTGGTATATGCTAAAACCAGGAGAGTGGACAAATGCTTCTATAATCCTCATAATCCTCTTCTATAGGAAAATCTGTTTTAAGTCTGCCTTTCTATCCTAGTATATAGACCTCCAGTGAGGCTAAATGGGAATCACTAGCATTCTGTATTATGCTTTAAATTATTTTTCTAATTTTCTAATAGTTTTGCTTTCAGTTTTATCAAAGTCCCCAGATTTTGTAGTGGGACTAATGAACTGCCTGTCCAAAATAGTAATGAAGTTACTCTTCTGTTATATGCTGCTAAAAAATGGGTTGGGGAGTAAAGATGTTAAGGCTATAGAAATGCATATTTAGAGTTATTTGTACATTTGATCCATCATCTTGAAGATACAGGAAATTGAGTTTGTTGATGCTTCATACTTATGTTAAATTTTCTGTTTAATCTCTCTTCCCTCTCCTCCACTTCCTGCCCCACCCACCATGATGCTGTCTCTCAATGAATTAGGTATATACCCAAGATCAAAGCCAAAATGACTGGAAAGCTGGTACTATTACTGTAGTCTCTAAGAGGAATTTCAGAGCACACAGTTTTCACTATACCAGTTGCTCAGTATAATTTGTCCAGTAAATTTATTCAAAATCTTATAAAGTAGTCTACTGTAATGGTTAAGTATACCAACCTTGGAATCAGGCAGATTGAGGTTCAGATCTCAGCTTTCTGCAACTTGTGAGCTTTGTGACTTGGGTCAAATAACATATATATTCTTCAAGCACCAGTTACCTCATATGTAATATGGAAATATTAATATCTATTTCAAAGGATTAGATGAAATGGGTATATAAAGTACCTGGCATGTGTTTGTGGGTATGTATATGCAGATAAAGCATGAACATACAGATAAGTCATGTATGATATATAGTAATTTAATACTATTATTATTATTCCTATAACAATATATCTTTTTTTATTTTTTATTTTGTAGATGCAGCCATCATGATCTCTTGCTCTGCTATTTCTTGGTCAACTGTTGATTATCAAATAGCTTTAAGAAAATCCTTGCCTGATAAAAAAATCCTTAATGGACCCTGTCCCAAACTCACATATCTCTTTTACAAGTTGTTTACATTATTGTCTTGGATGCTGAGTGTTGTACTTCTTTTATTCTTAAGTGTTATTATTGCTTTATTTTTGTTGTTATTTCTTTGGTTTTTAGGTATACTGTGGGCATTTAAAGAGCAAACTCGGTTTTGTGCTTCCATAAGTATGGAATTCTTATACAGAATTGTTGTTGGATTCATTCTTATCTTTACATTTTTTAATATTAAGGGACAGAATACCAAATATCCAATGTCTTGTTACTATATTGCAAGGGTATTGGCCACAGTTGGGATATTGATTGTATTCTGGGTTTGCCCACTCTCTGTTTTTAGTTCAGACTATTTTATACCTATCAGTATCACTATAGCTCTTACCCTTCTCCTTGGAATTATTTTCCTTATTGTTTATTATGGGACTTTACACCCAAACAGAAGTAAAGAAATAGTGCCTGATGAAATTGATGGAAAACCAGTTCAAAGCGACTGTAGAATGAAGTATTTCCTAATGCAATAAGCTGTTCATTTACAAGTTATGTTTTCTTATTTTTTGTTTCATTGGTTAGTAAAGAAAATGTTTTACATGTGTGTGTGTTGTTTCTTATTTTTACCTTCTTTAAATTGAGATCAGTTCTGGTACATTAATTAGGAATGTGAGAGAGCATAATATTTTTTTAATTTAACTTAATTTCTTATATGGTTTTGAAAATCTTGGGTATTCGGATATACTTGACTGTTGCCTGGTAGAGTTGCCATCTTGAGTGTGAATGGGAAGAAATAGTCTGATTGCCATAATTAAAAGTCTGGAATTGAGCTTCCCTCCAACTTCTGTCCTTTACTTTTTCCCTTCCTGCTCCTGAAGTATAATTGATTTTTGTTGTGGAGAACTGCAAGGGGAGGAGAAAAGCAGAACTCTCATTCTTCTTTCCTTATTTTTGATTTAGTGTATATATTTTGAGTTGGGGATAGACTGAGTAGAGGAAAAGGAAAAGGAGAGAAAGGAAGAAAACAAAACATCAAATTTACCATATTAAGAATTTTTAAGTGCATAGTTCAGTAATGTTAAGTATATTCACTTCACTTTGCATTTCTGTAACTTTTTCATATTACAACACTGAGACTCTATTCCCACTGAACAATTCCCCATTTCCCTCTCCAACCTGTGGCAACTACAGTTTTATTTTCTATTTCTATGAAACTTGACTCATACAAGTGGAATCATATAGTATTTATCTTTTTGTGCCTGGCTTATTTCACTTTGTATAATGTCCTTAGGTTCATCCATGTTAGCATGTGACAGGATTTACTTTTTTAAGGATGAATAATATCCATTGTGTGTGTGTAATATATGCCACATTTTCTCTATTTTTCCATCATTGGGTTGCCTCTACCTCTTGGCTATTGTGAATAATGCTGTAATGAACATGGGTTTGTAAATATCTCTCCAAGATCTTACTTTCAACTCTTTTGGATATAGGACCAAAAGTGGAATTGCTGAATCACATGATAATTCTGTTTTTCATCTTTTGAGGAACCTTCATAGTGGATATAGTGGATGCACCATTTTACAATCTTACCAACAGTGCACAAGGGTTCCAATGTGTCTTGCCAATGGGTTTCATCCCTGGGCAAGTTCGCTATGGATTCCGTGTGACCAAGGAAATTGACAGCAAAACGTTCTTTGGGGTGAAAGGGTTTATTACACATCTTGTTTTCCCGGCGGTAGGTGGAGCACGAGCGTCTCCACCTCCACCCACAGCACTGGGCCGAGCTCTCTATATAGCACAATAATAGCTTATTGCCTAAAGGTGTGGAAGCGGTAGCCTAGCAACAGGCCAGTTGCATCATCAGGTGGTTTGAGTTCAGTGAGGATCCTGGCCATAGGAACCCCAGCTTCCCCACACAATATCTCCACATCCTTACCAACACTTGCTATTTTCTGTTTCTTTTTGATAGTGACTATCCTAATGTGAGGATATGAAGTGATATCTCACTGTAGTTTTGATTTGCATTTCTCTAATTATTAGTGATATTGAGCATCTTTTCATATACATGTTGGCAATTTGTATATCTTTGGGAAAATGTCTATATGTGATAAGGGGTTAATACCCAGAATATAGAAAGAACTACAACTCAACAATAAAAAACCCAAATAATTTAATAAAAAATAGGAAAAGGACTTGAAGTAACAAAATCATATTTTAATAGTTTTCTGCATTATTCCTCCCTGTAAGAAGTAAATTTTAGTTACTTCTTGTGATAGGGAGGACAATTAGATTAGGCTAAACTGGAAATAATGAAACTTTTCCCATCAAATTCCCTTTCTTAGTTCCTTATGTGGGAAAAATGGGAGTTCCTGTGGTCAAGATCCTCACCTGAACCTAAACTACTTGATAATGTAATTGTCCTACTGCTAGGCTACGGCTTCCTCACCCATAGGCAATAAGTAATATTGACTGAGTCACTATATAAAGAGCTCTGACCAGTGCTCTGGGCAGTGGCAGAGAGAAGGAGGATTATGGACTATTGGATGCAGACATGATTCTAGTGCTACCTGCTACTGGGAGAATAAAGCCAGGTAATACATCCTTTTATCCCAATAATGTTCCATCAGCATTTCTTGGTCTCACTGAATCCATAGTGAACTTGCTGGGGGCCAAACCTTCAGGCAAGACACCTTTCTTTTCCTTCGGTCAGGTCTTGATGAGTAAGTCCTCAAACAGAAGCCTTTTCTATTATCAAGAGGAAAAAATTGCTATTTCCACATTTAATATTATAACAATATAAAACTGCTATGTAGTTTTTGGAAAGAAAGGTGAACTTACTGGATACAACACATTTCAACTATCAAAGCTGTTTGAAAACAATAAGTGTTAAGTGCTAACTGTGCTCAGCACTCTGTTAGATACTATTGTGGACACAAAAAACAAGTGCAAAATAGAATTCTTCTGCTTGAAAAGGTTACATACTGAAGCATTTACAGAAACTGACAAGTTGTGTTTCAGAATGTGGTATATTTATCTACTTACACAGAGTATATAAAACTCAGTAAGATGTTCCCTGTGTCATTCTTTGAGAAAGATGGCGTAAAAGAATGATTTCTTGCAGGAGCTGGAGGATCTACAGTTTACTTTTGGCATATGATCCTTGTACCCCACTTATTGCATGTCTCCCTATCTCTGTATGTTTGGTGTGTTATTTATACATGTATGTTTGATAGAATGAAGGTGGAAAAAGAAGTTAGCAAGACTTGAGTCAGAATTTTTGAGTCATAAAGGCCTGTCTTGCCAGTGGGTTCAGCCCTGGGCAAGTTCACTATGGATTTAGTGAGACCAAAGAGTGACAATGGAACATTCTTGGGGTGAAAGGGTTATACCCAACTTTATTCCCACGGTGGCGGGTCAATCACTAGAATCCTGTCCACTCAGAGTGAGTCTGTATGCAGCAAGCGGGTCTCTGCCTCTGGGCCTCTCTACCCCCACAGCCATCTCAGTCTCTGTCCTCGGTGCTGCCACCACTCCAGTCTCTGCTCTCCTAAGCCATGCCACCATGTTGCACAGAGCACTGGGTGAAGCTTCTTATATAGCGTCAATAACAATGTGTTGCCCACATGTGTGTAGTGAGCTTTCCAACCAGGGCCAGGTGAGAATCCTGGCCATAGGAAACCACTATATCCACAAGAACCAAAAGATTTTTAGTCATAAAATGGAAGTGCTCTTCATTCCTTCCTAAATATTAAATTCCTATGTATTATTTCTCTTCAACTGGAGAATTTCTCTTAGTGTTTTCTGTCATTTAAATTTGTTGATGATAGATTATTTTTCTCCCTCTTTATCAGAACATGTATTTATTTCTCCTTCATTTTTACAGGATATTTTTGCTGGATATTGAGTTCTGTGTTGACAGTTTTTTTCCTTTAAGCATTTTAAAGATTATCCCACTAATTTCTGGCCTCCATTGTTTCTGGGAGAAGTTGTTGATCTCCATTTTTTCCTTATATGTAATTTGTTTTTCTCAAGCTGTTTTGACATTTTACCTTTCATTTTTGGTTTGCAGTAGTTTGACTACTGTGTCCACTGTTGTAGTTTTTCTTTGTATTTATCCTACTTGGGGTTCTCTGAGCTTCATAAACATGTAAATTTTAACCTTTCACTACATTTAGAAAGCTTCTGGCCATTATTCCTCTCATATTCTTTTTATTGCTTTATCTCTCAGACTCCACTAACACATGTTAGAACTATTGATATCATCCCACTGGGGCTCTGTTCATTCTTTTTCCGATTTGTTTTCTCTGCCCTTCATATTGGATTTGTCTTCAAGTTCATTGTCTTTTTCATTCATCTTCAATCTGCTGTTAAACTCATCCAATGGATTAAATTTTTTTTTTCAGATGCTGCAGGTTTATGTTCTGGACTTTTCATTTGTTTATTTTTTTATGTTTTCATTTTCTCTGCTAAGAATTCATACCTTTTATTCATTTTGAGCTTATTTTCCTTTATATCATTGGTAATTAGAATAATGTTTTAAAATCCTTGTCTGCTAATTCTAGTATCTGGGTCATCTCAGAATTGGTGTCCATTGATTGCCTTTTCTCATGAATATGGGTCACATTTTCCTGTTTCCTCATATGTCTACTAATTTTGAATTATGTCCTGGATGTTATTAATGATGCATTTTAAACCCACTTTATCCTATTTGTTCTTCAGAGGAATATGTATTTTTTTCTTGCAGCATTTCAAGTTAACTTGAACTTACTTTAAACTTTTAATTCTAAACAATCTTTATTTGTTTAGCTTTCAGTGTGCTGCCTGGAGCCTGTGTCTTGTATGTATAATTCAGGGTCAGTCAGAGATTTGGTAAGAGTTAATATATGGAGTGAGGCTTACTCTCTGTTGACTGTTCTTTCTAGGAATTTCCCTTAAACTTTTCAGCTGCTGTGGTCATTCCATACTGTGTTCTCTGGACCTTAAAACACTAAGGTTGTAGGTTTTCAATCTGTATTTATGTATTCAGGTTGCTGACTGGGGTCTATCCTCACTCAGTGCCATTCCTTTCCCAAATGTTTACCACTCTCCAATGTTGGCCTGCTTTTTTTCTATCAGTGCTTTCAGGGGGTGGTTTTTTATATTTCATCCAGAGCTTATAGTTGTTGTTTGTGAGAGGGTTTGTGCAAGTAGGAGCTACACCTCTCTTTTTCTTAATAACAACTTCAATAATCTTTTTGTAATATTTGCCATTCCTTCTGATATTTACCTAAAAACAAATGTGTAAACATTTTTATTTAACATTTAATCTTCTCATCCTTACTTGTTTGATTCTCACAACAATGAACAGTATAGATATTATTATCATAATTACCCTTTTACTAGGGAAACCAAATCTCCTAGAGTTTAAGAAAACTGCCAATATTCATATAGATCAAATCTCATACTTTTTGACTTCAAGTTTAGTTTACTTTCTGTGGAACCACGTTGTATTTCTCTGATGAATAGATTAAGTAACCATCAGCAGTCTAGAACTGGCACTAAGTTATACATGATTTTAAAATCATTAAATTATTTGCACACAATACAAT